ACTGCACCCGGGGAAAAAACATTTGGACTGAGACAAAATGGACTCAAAATAGATGGCACTAGAACATTTGGAACAAGTATATTTGGAGACAAAACGTTCGGAGACAGGACGAAAGGTACTAATACCGCTGGGCACAAAATTAGTGGATCCATAGCAAGTGGTGAAAGAATAATGGCTGACAAAACCACAGGAGAGAGAACCACAGGGCACATAAGACGTGGTGAAAGAATGACTGCTACAAATAACCACGGAGATAAGATGACCGGGCCAAAAATAGCTGGGGAAAATACTGCGGCAGCGAAAAGTATAGGAGAGAGAACGAAGGGCTGAGAAGTCCCTTCCGGACGTAAAACAATCCAATCAAACAAAACCGGGGTAAGAACGACTTCGCGTTTGGCACGAATATGCGTTGTTTTACCGAGGTCTTGTAAGTTTGAAAGCATTCGTTGATGTATTTGACTGGTGCTCATTGATTTAAATAAAGCTAGGCTTTTATCATTTCGATATGGTGATTTAGCACCGTAAACAAAATCTAGTTGGTCATTATTCAGAACTGAATAACCCACATCGTTGAATTCGTCAATCTAAAAGTAATGCCTACATTTCAGCAGCAACTTTAGAAGGGTTTGTTACAAGAGCAAAAGAAACTTGCCGCAAAATTATTTCAACGAATTCTTCTTGAAACAATAAAGAATGTCTTAAAGATTGATTTGAAGAAAAACCTGATTTTTTTCTAGCATTCTTTGGATATTTTCAAAAATTTCGATTTTGTCCACTGCTTCTTTACCTCCAATTTCACTGGCGTTTTCTTTAGTCATGTACATAGGCTGCCCATCAATACCACGTGGAAACTTGTCATATGGTATTGGCATAAATTTATCTTCTTCTTCCTTAATAGAATAAATAATTTTTGGTAACTTCGACAAGATACTTTTAAAGTACATTACTTTCTTCTACAATGCAAAGTATGCTTGAGTTGAGTTTTGGAAACAAGTAAAAAAGGAGCAGCTCTATCCGAACTTCCTCAGCTCTAAAAAGTTGCATCAGCTTTTTAATCAAAATTTGTGTCGATCTAGCGCTATCTCATAACAAACTTAAAAAACTAACATTTATTCTTTCCAAAGCATCTGTGACACCTGATGCCTCTAATATGAAATTTAACCACTGTTTGTGATCAGAACTGTTCATCGAGTTTATCAAGTGTGGCAGACTCATCAATCGCTCCAGACCCTTACCTTCTCCATGCAAACTGAACAACGACGGAGAGAGCATGCTTAACTGGAAATGTAAGTCTTACATACTTTGAAATCAGGAAGAGTCAATGAGGTAACTGCAATGTCATCTTAAGTTTGCGATGTGATCGTTGAACCTGCTAAAAAATGCTACTAATAACTGCTGCTAATAACCTTAAAAATTGCTTACCGCATCACCATCATCTTGCTCCGGAACTACAGACAAGAAACGAGGAGAAGCAAAATTGAGTCGTTTTTTATTCATCAAATGCTTAGTTTTGTTATTACTTGACAAAACCGATGTTATCTTTACAGAGTCTGTCAGTATGCTCATAACTTCAGCTAATACTTTTGAGTCCCAATCACTACCGGTTTGCAGCTGGTCCACCAATTCTTGTGGCATTTGAAATTCTTTTACAAGTGTTTTTTCAGCCTGAATTGTTATCTATTTCAGTCGTTGCACTATATGATTGACATCCAACTAGAGGAAAAGTGGTTTTTAATAAACTCTATTCGAGTCTGCAGAAAAACTATGTCGTTTGAAAGCTAAATAATTACAGATTGCTTAGTAAACTTATTCGACTTTTATTATTAAGAAGAAACTACTTAAAAATTACCTCTGTCAGTTTGAACTTTTTCTTCGTATTTTCAGCTCCGTATTTGGCGAATTCAAATTTTTTTTTAAAGGCCTTTCGCAGTTCTTCTTTAGCCTTTTTCTTACGCTGAATTTCTTGAAGGTTTGTGTGCATAGTGTCCCATCTAGAAACAATAGGTTTTATTTGCACCTCTTTCATCTGTTCTCTCTTATAAGTAGACACTAGTTTTGCGAGAATTAGACTCACTTCTTGGCGTCTTTGCCTTTCAGAGAAGTTATGCTGTTCGAAAGGTATTTGCCAAGAAGGCCAAACGGAGTCATAGTTTCCATTTCTGATTGCAACTTGTAGTTGTTGGCTCGGATTATATCTCTTCGTGAACGAAATTGAATTCGTTCCTTTGCCTCTTTTTCTGTTGGGTGGTAAATCGTGAAAGCCGAGTTTTTATTCCATGTGTCATTGCTGGCTTCTAATATAGAGCTGAGAACTCCTAATCTCTGTCCTTTAATAACGCCATGATTAGTTCTGAACTAACCTAATTTTTATGACCTTTTCAATATGAAAGCTGTTAGCAGCGGTAGTTAAGCTATAGAGGTCAGTAGTTTTTTTCAAACAGTCAATCACTTACCTCTAACAGAACTTGTTTTGTCTTTTGCTTCGTCGATTACTGCGAATACACATTTGGAATGTTCATGAATTGTTTCAGATGTTTTAGAACATTTGAACAGCTTATTACGATGATATTCGTTCATTGCTTTAGACCTGAATAATTAAAGTGATTTTTAAATTTGGCAGCGACAAATTTTTGACATTTTTGTATTTTGGGCTCTTATCTGGATAAACTAGCAAAAGCGTTGTAGAGCTGAAAGAAAAAGTAAATTAACTCTTTTTGAGCAATAGCTGATATAAGGCTGCTCAATCCCTGAATTGTCCATCTTTGGTACAGTTCTATTCCAGATTCTTTTGAGACTGGTATGTTTAATTTTTTACCATCATAGTACTTAGCGCCTGGCATATTTTTTGCACTGATAGTTTGATGACCTGCTGTTATGCCACATAAGATCCAAAAAAGAAATGTCAGGCCTAAAAAGTGCAATGAAAATTTTCCTGCTTTGCCTTTGTAGAACAAATATAATTTCAAAATGAAAAATTTCATTCAAAAAGCAGAAACATAAATTTTTTTTTGTAACAGTAACTGCTTTTGCAAATGAAATTGACTCAGTACAGAAGCTTATTATGAGGACGACAGTAATTGAAAAAAAAATTGATTTAAGAAAGTAAGTTTTGGAAATTTTGTTGTGTTTATTTTATTTTATTTTTTGCTTATTTTACTCTTTCATTTTTTTATAGTCTTAGATACCTGAAATCAAAGCTAGCAAAACTTAAAACTTTGTTTAGCACATATATGAATAAGTCTTCTCTTTCAGTAACATCGTTAAAAATCTTCTGTTGAGGTTGAAGTAGTGAAAAGCTGTAAGATTGTATAATTTTTTTAAAAGCAAAGCTATTCTGCTGCCATTTTTGGTATTAAACTTAGCGCTTCAATGTTCTCTAACAATGCGATTCTTTGTAAAAGATGGCTTTGTTACAGAAACCTTTCTAAAACATTTTAAAAGAAGTTTTAGAGACAGGAATGATAACGCGAATCTTGCTCATACGTAAAAAACTTTTAAAGACTTTTTGTTTTATTTTGATTTAAAATTTGGTAGCTGCATATGAAACTAAACCTAACTATTAAAGATGAATTTATTCTGTTCATTCAATTTTAAATTCTCATCAGAATAAAACTTTATTCTGTTACATAAACAGTGTTAACCTTAAAATTCCTATAGTCTCTTATATTTTTAAAAACTTGTTCTTTCCAAATGTTGACATCTGTCTTAATAAATGCTAACTTGATAGGACAGTTTAAACTGGAAGTTAAGGAGGAAAAATTTCTGCAATTATATACCAGTGAAGCTGTATGGAAACAGGCAATTTAAGGCTTCAAAATGACAGTTCTTTTTTCGTTTTCTGCATACAACTGATCTTTTTCCATTGCTACAGGCAACCGTCTTTAATGTTTATTAATCGTTCTTAAGTCAATTCATTACCTAATTTTAAAAAAGCTTTGAAAGAAAAATTTTTCTTAATAAATTTAAATTCCAATATCTTCTAATCTGTGTTTGTAAAGCTTTGTCATTTCCAGCTTGTAAAATAGGTTTATTTCTAATCCACACTTCTTGACTTCTACAAAAACTTTCTTTTTCTAAAATTTGTAAACAACTGATGACTTTCCTTTTAAACTTTTAAAACTACACTTTATTAATTTTGAACGCTATAAGTACCACTAACAGTTTTCCTATTATATTATGTCTTTACTCTTTTTGGTTCACTTTTCCGACAAAGGACTGTGCAATTGGGAATTTTGTCTTAGCAGTGCATTCAAGGCTACTATTGAAAACTGAGCTTAAAAAACACACGTTACAATAATCTATTTTACAAAGTATGCTGTTGCAAAACTGCGAATATTATTAAAACGTCAATATTACATAGATTTGAGAAAACTTACAGGTCCAAAAAAGAAAAAAAAAAACAAGAAAACCTCTCAATTAACGTGGTTCGATATAGTTTATGTACAGATCATTAAAAAAGACAACTATTTTGAATTTTTGTTAAGAAAAAAGTTTTTTAACAAAAATTATTTATACTTCTGTTTATCACACATTTGCAAAAATGATTGCAACGTTTGTATCAAAAACTTACATAAAATCTTCATATCAAGCGAACTCATTGCTTCGGTAAGTAATCTTTTATTCACTGTTACAGCAAGAAATACACAACTCCTTCAGACGTTTTATTTTAACCTAAAAAAAATATTTATTACATAAATTTTTTGTCTTCAACAAAGTATGTGTAAATATCAGTGAAAAAATATTTACACTTCTGTTTATCACACTTATCTATTTAAAGTGATATTCTTCTGTTTTTGCTCACTAAACTTTCCGATTCTACTATAATTAGAAATACGCTTTTAACAATTTAAAAAAAATTTTTTTTAATTTTGTCAAAAAAAACATAAAAATTTAAAAAAATGACAAACAATTTGTGAAAGTTGACATATTAAGAGTTAGCAAAAGAAAAAAGCTTTTCATAAAGTCAGCATGGGAATAAAGAATTTGGCATTATGGTTTGAGGTACGAGCTTTGGCTGGAGACAGAGCATTAGATGAGATAATCAAGTGCTTTAAAATAAATCAGTTAAAAGAGGTCATTCAATTTTTTTGAATCAGGTCATAAGACTTTGTTGCTGGCTGTTAAAAAAGTGAGATCATCTTAAATGTTATTAAAAAAAGACAGTGAATAAAAACTTTTGCAAGAATAACATTTTTTTAATTACCAATGTTGGTATTATCAAAACTGAACAAGTCACATTACCAGCTGATAATATCAATGCTTTTGTTTTGTAATCACTTCGTTGATTTACTTTTGTTTTACCTTCTCCTAAAAGCATATAATACTAAAACTTCACTAAAAGAGTTTATTCTAAGTTTTTTTTATCTTGATTTCATCATTTCTTTATCATTTCTTGAAAATAAGGTTGTTTTTGGCAAACACTCCATGAGTGTTTCTGACTACATACAAAAAAACGAGACTTTGATGATAAGTTTTTTTTTGATTACAGAAGTAAAGTACCGACCAGCCTTCTCGTTCGTCGTCACGATCCGTGTCGTAAAAAAAGAAATGACCAGACATTTTCAATAAGTGAAAAAATTGAGACAATGATAGAATATGGGGCACTGTTCTAGAACGTTACAGGGTCTAAAACTGCGTCAGAATCAATCGAGAATGATGTGTTACAAAATTTATTTTTTGGACACATGAAACATTGACAAAAGGCTTTAACAGATGGATATTTCAGTGCTGTGATAATTTTTGCTAGGAAATCAATTTCACCATGAATTTAACTGTCTGTAACCTACTAATAAAATTGACAATTCTGTATCGGTTTTTACATCAGTAGCATTGACCAACATAAATGATTGTCATGAATGTGCTTAAAAAATGAAACTTTGAAGGTGTAGAAACAGGTTTTACATCGAAAGTTGCAAATAAATTCGTCATGAGAGTGAATTTTATTGTAGAATTCTTGAAGCATGCTGCTCAGTGTTTTTTTTAGCATTGAGTGACAATTCAGTGAATGGTGTAGTAACAAATAATACTCCTCTAAGGTATATTAGCGGTGGGATTACTTCTGAGTTTTGAAAGCAAAGAGCACTAATAGCAGTAATTCAAAAAAAAAAAGTCAATTTTTTTTTAGATGTATTTTTTGTGTTTCTTAAAGTGCTTTTTTTTTTAGTGATCACAGTACCAACAAATAACGTTTTGATATTTCTATAGTCATTGTAAACTTTCTTCCTTTTTTTTCTTTTTTTTTTTTGATAGCAGTTATATAAGACAATAATTGGAAGTAACAATTACAGGATACAGTTACTGTTTGGCTTCTGCTACAGATTTTCTGTGCTAAGTAAACAACACAGAAAAGTTGTTGATAATTTACTGTTGTCAAAAAAAAGAAGAAAAGAAAATCAATTTAATTATTTTTCTTTTTGAACAAGTTCAATCTAACTAATTTGGCAATTTATCGCATAGCTCAATGTACAGTTGAGGTATCTGTCGTGTAATAACTGTGTCCTGTTCAGGTGTTTAGTTTAAAATTTTTATATAAGTTATACTTATAAATCTTCTTCAGTGATTTGTAAATATATGACATAATACTGTTAATAGAAAAGAATTATTACCTTTTTTTTTTGCTACTTATTATATTTATTTGAAAGTAAATCACTAATAAATAAAAAAAATTGTTCACGTTTATTTCTGTAGAGGAATTATTCTGTTTTTGCAACATATTTAATTTATTTTAAAAGTGGTGTTTTTTTTTTGTAAAGCAGATTAAGTGAAAAAAAAAAGGGAAAGAAAGAAACTGTTGTAAAGTGAAAAACTTTTATGTGATACTGTCAGAATTACGTAATTGAAAGATCATTTTTATTATTGAATTTTGGTGAAAACTGTTTTTCTTTACTTTTTTTTTCTTTGTTTCTTTTCATTTGAAGTTTTGCCTAAGAAAAAACTGATACAGAAATAACAGCAAAAAAAAACTAATAAAAGATATTCAATGAAAAATTGATGTTGTTCACAAAAGAGAGAATCTTTTTAGTTAGATTTTTTTTTTTGCTAGTTGATGAATATTAATGCAAATATGTCAAATTTTCAAGACTATTTTTTTCTTGTTACAGTTTTTTCTTCCTCTCGTTTCTTGTTTTTTTTTTTTTTTCTTTCTTATTTTTTCTTTTTATTTTAAACGCATATATCAGTGACAATTTAAGTAAACAAAATAAAAACAGATGAACAATTGTTGTTGGTTGATGTCTGTTCTAAATATTTATCATAATGGTAGTTTTACCAGTGGTCATATTGACAGTCAAACAAAGTAAAATAACAGATGATTCGGCGATAGCAGTTGCAAATTACCGAACAAACAAATTTACCCAAATTTTGCACTCGGCTTCAGTTTTTATCACTGCCTAAAATAAGGTTTGACCCATAAAATTGATTAAAGTTACCGGTTAAAAATTCATTACTGAACATATTTTTTTAATGTATCGTCACAAAAAACTTCCATATTCTCTGTGTTTTGTTTCTAATCCGTTGTTGTTTTTTCTCTTTAATTAGTTGATTGCTTTTCTCTCTTTTCGTTCTCTCCGCTTCTTTTTTGTTAACACCCCCTCAGCCCCGCCCGTCGTATCCTTCGTTTTTCTGTTTACCAATAATTTCAATAAACTTTTAAAAATAAAAAAAATTTTTTTTTACATTAAATATATGGCATTGATAGATTCTGTTGTTTTAAAACAACACTATTCACAAATTCAATTTAAAAAAAGCTATTTTACAGAAAAAAAATACAAAAAAATACAAAAAGTATATTCTTAAAGAAAACCAAAAGAGATGAAGATGATTTAAAACTAATTTTTCTTTA